TCTGCCATAGTAACTTATGCCATAGTAACTAACTTGTACCATAGTAACTTCTGCCATAGTAACTAATTGTTACCATAGTAACTTTTGCCATAGTAACTTTTGCCATTCAGTAACGGTTTCCATAGTAACTTATGCCATAGTAACTTATGCTATAGTAACTTATGCCATAGTAACTTATGCCATAGTAACTTATGCTACAGTAACTTATGTCATAGTAACTAATTTTTACCTTAGTAACTTGTGCCATAGTAACTAACTGTTACCATAGTAACTAGCTGTTACCATAGTGACTTTTGCCATAGTTACCTAAAAATGAATTGAACTAATAATTTTATATTTTTAACTAAATAGTTACTATTTGCAATATTTTTACTAATTTAGATTTTGAGAGTAAAAGTTATAAAAAATTTTGGCACCAAAATTTACAAAAATATATTTAATCGTTTTGTTTGTCTTAAAATTGACTTTAACTACTTGTTTAAAAAAAAATTACAAAAATTATAAAAATACTGGCATCAAAATTGACAAAATTTTAATCCTTTTGTTTGACTTAATACTGACCTTACCTTAAATATCTTTTTTAATTTTTCTTTTTTTTAAACTATTTTAATTATGAAAAATTGAAGGAAAAAAAATAACAAAAGTGTTTATTACATTATTTTAAGACAAAGGAAAATAAAATTGTTGTGGTACACAAATATTGTAGTTTAAAGAATAAGAAAAAAAAAATAACTAACCTATGTTTTTTGTCCTAATGGGAAGCAATCTGCAAAATCTAGGTTAGCATCTTTATCTTGCGACGCACGTATCGAGTCGTCTCTTTAAAACGATGTTTGCATCTTTAGAGAAGACGCGTCATGAATTTTTATGGTTCCACATATCTCAAAGTCAGCCCCCCCCCTCTCTCTCTCTCTTTTACCCCCTTCCCCCTCATGTACATTTTAACTTTGAGACTAAATCTAGTCTTGAATTTACATTCAATTTAATTCTATATATATATTTTTTTTTTTGCTAGTACATGTTTTATATACGTCTGTTTACACATTTTTTCCACTTCAATTAAATTCTATTATTGAAATTGAAAAAATATATTTTTCTCTGAATTTTTGATATTGCAGTGTAATAATTTTCTTTAAATGAAAATTGAAAGTCTTTTGATAAGTGGACATTAATTTTTAATTATTAAATAAATTTTATAGTTTATTTATTATTAAAAAAAAAATTTCTTTTAATTTCTTTATGAAAATTTAAAGAAATTGTGATAAATTCAAATGGTTTTATTTAATTATTAAAAAAAAACTTTATAATATTTGTTTTTTTTCAAAAAAAAGAGAAAAAAAACTTGTATCTCGAGAGTTTGTGAGTTAAAATTTATTATTATCTTTGCGATTAATAATCTAGGAACGATAATAAATTAGCATCACTTTTTCGTTTCGGGAAGGAAATTAATTTTTCATAGTAACAGATTTATTAGCTGGAAATGTATGAGTTGCGCTCTCTCTCTCTCCCTCTCTTTCTCTCTCTAAATGTTTCATTTAATTTATTAATAGATTTACTCGTTGGAAATTGCGCTCTTGCACTTATAGATTATATATATAAGAGAATCTTAATTTTTAATATCGAGTCCATTTCTTTCGTTTAATTTTTATTTCCCTTTGAATGTAAAGCAAAATTTTTAAGTTTAAACAAAATTTTTAATCAGAAGGAAAAATATTCATCTTTTAAATTGACAATAATTGTTTTCTTTACATTTTTTTTTAATATAATAAAATAAATAAAATAAATAAAATAAATAAAATAAATAAAATAAATAAAATAAATAAAATAAATAAAATAAATAAAATAAATAAAATAAATAAAATAAATAAAATAAATAAAATAAATAAAATAAATAAAAGAAATAAAATAAATATAAATAAAATAAATAAAATAAATAAAATAAATAGTTTTGCCTAATCGCGGTTTATAAAATAAATATTTATTTAATTGAAAAAAAAATTTTCCTTAAAATATTTAATAATTATAAACTGATAATAAAATAGTTTCTGTATTTTAATTTTGAATATTTACTTTTTTTTATTTTCTTTTTTTCAATATATAAATAAACTTTTACTGCTTCATTTGCCTTCTATATACGAACAACTACTATTCAAAATTTTAAATGCTGATTTAAATTTCACTTAGTGAGTTTAACGTGCTATTACGTCTTTAAAAAAAAGAAAAAAAAACTGTTCTTGTTTTTACCTCTTACTTCCCTGTAGAAAGGCTTTTGCAATTTTATTTTATTAGAATTTAATGCTCTTTTAGATTTTTTCATTTACCCAACAGGTTAAACAAGGTTGTTGTATAAAGTCAATTTTCTCAATGTATTAAAATTTCTGAATTAATTAAATTTTTGCAGACATTTTTAAAATATTAATAATATAAAAAATACAATTTTTTTTTATTAACAATTTTTTTTTTGTAATTTTATCTTATTTTTCCCTGGTTTAATTATTCAGAAAATAATTTTTTTTTTTTTTGCGGCACATGGGATAGTTCAATTAACGGAGTCATGTTAACGTCGACATTCGTAAAGCAGGAAGGGTAATAATTGATAAAATGTCGACAACAGCACGAATTTCACATTATGAGGCCTTTGGGACTCATGAATCAAATCCTTTTATGTTATCCCAGTGAAATACTGTCAGATCAACATACAAAATAGTATTAATATTTATCTACTTGCAAAAGCCTTTTTTTTTTTTTTTTATTTATGATTCTATTTTTTTTCATACAGTTTTTCCTTTCTGAAAAACAACAGTTCTAATAAATATATAATCAAAATGAAAAAAAAATGAATTCACAAAATTTGTCATTTGTTAACAAGGAAAAAAAAAATTTATTTGGTACAAATATTCGATTACTTGATTATTTTATCAAAATAAATATTTATTAGAACGAAATAATTTTTATTTGAGCCAATTAAATTGTATTTGTTTCAAATACAGAAATTATTGGTCCAATTTATTTAATTCAATTAAAATTATTTGGTTCAAATAAATATTTATTTAATTCAATTAAAATTATTTGGTTCAAATAAATATTTATTTAATTCAATTAAAATTATTTGGTTCAAATAAATATTTATTTAATTCAATTAAAGTTATTTGGTTCAAATAAATATTTATTTAATTCAATTAAAATTATTTGGTTCAAATAAATATTTATTTAATTCAATTAAAATTATTTGGTTCAAATAAATATTTATTTAATTCAATTAAAATTATTTGGTTCAAATAAATATTTATTTAATTCAATTAAAAATATTTGGTTCAAATAAATATTTATTTAATTCAATTAAAATTATTTGGTTCAAATAAATATTTGATAATATTCAAGTACAAGATTATTTGAATCAAATAAATTTTATTTCTCAGTATACTTCAATTTTTTTTAAATTAGGTGAGAAAAAAAAATTTATTGACAAATAAATAATTAGATTCACATTTAAACAAACTTTCGTGTATTACTTTTAATTTGATTGATTTTTACATTTCGTCTTATTGAAGAATCGACGTGTACTTTCTTAATATATATATATATATTTTTTTTTTAATAAAATATTAAATACGTAATATAAAACCATAACAATGCTGCTGATTGGAAGACGCCGCTTTTTTGGTCTTATTGCAAGTAACATTTTTTTTTTTTTTTTTATAAAGATTACAATAATCAGTCGGAAAATAAAAAATATTTTTTTTTGCAAAAAATTGAAAAGTAAAATTACAATCGGATATTACAATGTAAGGTTTTTTTTTCATATAAATCGGTCCCATTTTCAATTAAAAATATTATCTACAAATAAATTCTTTTTCCCTACAATAATGTTTTAATTAATGACCATTAATTATTATAATTTTTTTAAAATTTGGATAAAAATTTATAGAAAATTTTTTTTTAGAACAGTTTTATTTAAATTTGATTTTTGAGTTTTGATTGGAAAATATTTTGCAAGAGAAAAGAAAATTTTTTATAAATATTTTTAATTTGTTATTTTAGTACTATATTTAATTTTTGTAAAATAATTTTTATTAATTTTTATGGCAGTTTTAAATTTCTTTCGTTATTTATTTTTTTTTTTTCTTATTATAGAGAATAACGTCGTCATTTCATTCAACAGTGTTGGGACGGTAAAAGTCTAAAAAAAATAATTTACAATTAAAAAAAGAATTTTAATTTTTTTTGGAAAAAAATTATTTTTTTCCCTTTCTTTTTTTTAACTTGAGGAAAATTATTTTCAAAACAATTTTTTTGATTTAATATTTATGAAAAAAAAATTTTCGAAGATGTTTTTTTGGATTAACAGTCGATTCACATTATTTTTAAAGATATATAAGTACAATATTTTTTTAATCACACTGGATCAACATCGCATGGCAACTGAATATTTATCATCATCATCATCATCGTCATTTTCATCACCACCGATTTTTTTTTTTTTTTTTTTGTCACCCCCTAATCTTGTTAAATATACATATGCAACTTATTCGTTATATTTTTTTAGTAATTTATCTTTCGTACTTACATTCAATTCTTTTTTTTTTTTTAATTTTTTTTTTTTAAACCTCACACAGTAAATTTTTTTTTTCTTTTTTCTCCTTTTTTTTCGTGTTTTAGTAGTAAGAAAATTTATGACGATATGATAGATCGGTCTTATACATAGTACTGCTAGGTACAAAACTATTTCCTTGGAAAAAAGTTGTCTATTCTGCGCTCGCACTCTTCGTTATATTAAAATTGTATAATATTTTTATTAACGTCAGTCAGTCGAAGAGAGACGACGAAATTCGGAATTGTAAAACAGAATAATAAATAATATTTTTTGAAAATTCGCCCAGCGGGAAATTTTTTTTCGAAAAATTCCCGTTTCGTACGTGGCAGTATCTATATTTATCCGGTTCCTTTGGCGTTTATTTTTTTTTTTTGCAAAAAAAAAAATTCTTCAATTAATGTCACAATTTTTTTTTTATGTAATTTTTTTATTTTTAAATTCCCGAATATTGTGACATTAAATCAAGTTGAGGTATCGTCTTTTTGGCACAAAATTTTGGCCATTTTTTTTTTTTTGGATTTTTATTTCAATCACCAGATAATAGAGAATTTTTTTAAAAAATAAAAATTACTGATTATCACCTGCGAATAATTTTTTATAAAATAGTAAAATAAATTTTTTATAAATGTCTAATAATTTTATTTTATTTTTGAAATTGAGGGTGATTTTTTTTTTATTTTTGTTAAAAATAAATACATCTGGTGGTAGGAATATTAATCCTACAACTTGTATTATAGAAATAGCTAGATCGTAATAATTCAGCAATAAATTGGATCAATGTACAATAATTATCGCGTCGATGAGGTATAAACTGATTTTTTTTTTTTTTTTTAGAAATTTAATCAGAGTACATTAATCGTGGACTAGTACGAGCTAGCATAAGGAATATAAACCTTAAATTTTACTTACTATCTAGTTTCAAATTTACCAAACACTCTCGATTTATTTATTCATTTTCATTTATTCATTTTTTTTTTTAATTTTATTTTACCCTCTCTTAAAAATTAAGGCCAATTTTTTTCTCAATTAAATAATTTATTTTTGAAAACATTATTTTTTCGCAATATTATTTTTCAAAATTAAAATAATTTCATAATTGAAAAATTTTGATTTACAAATTTTTTTTGATTAACTGTCGATTTATTTATAAAAATGATTTTTACATTTAGGAAAAAAATTTTTCCAAATTAAATACCTATTTGATAGAAAAAATTGTGAACCTAATTTTTTTTGACACAATTTCTTGAATTAAATTGCACATTCAACTATCATTTGTTTTTTTTGTCTTTAATTAAAAAACACAATTACATTTTCTCGTAAAATTTTGAAAATAAAAAAAAAATTAACACACATACACACACACACAGCATTTATAAACATTGCGCATCATTTCACAATGACTAGTTTTCATTTAATTATTATTATTTTTTTTTTTTAATAATAATCCGCAGTTTTTTTTCGATGCACGCTAATAAATTCGAGTCCTTTTTCTCGGTTATTATCGCGCAAACTGTTGTCAAATTTTTTTTTTTTATCTTTTTCATTTTTTTTTTTTATATATGGAACTTTGGTGAAAATATACACATTTTTAATCGCTGCATTTTTTTTTTTTTTGCAGTCGTTGAGTTTAGTTTTTTTTTTCTTCTTCTTCATTATCTTCTTTTTTCTTCTCACATGCACCCACCCCAGGACCACTTTTACTATTTTGATTTTTTGTTGTTTAATTTGTTTTTTTTTTTATATATTTACATTAAATAGGTTTTATGGTGGTTGGATTTTTGTCATTAAAGTAAAAAAAAAAAAAAAATGGTTTTTTTTTTGTTTTACTTCAATGACAAATTTAATATCAGAGTTTCCCGACGAATTTTGTACAAATTTTTATATTTATATTACAGTCTCATTTTTTGTTTTCGTTATTATTTTGTGTTACGTGTTCTTGAGGTTAATTCTATTGTACAAGTAAATAATCAATGACAATAGAAAATAATAGAAAATAATTAAAAATAATTAAAAACAATCAAAAATAATTAAAAACTAATTAATAAAAATTAAATAAATAATAATTAATAAATAAAATAATAATAAAAAAGTAAATAAATAATAAATATAATATTTATATTTATTTTTTATATTATTTATCATATTATTTATTTTTTATATAGTTTTTATTTATATTATAATAAATAATAATAATAATAATAAATACTTAGTAATAATTTTTTAGGAATATAAAATTAAAAGTTATTAAAACAAATAATTTCAGAAGAAAATTATTAAACGAAATAATTTTTTTTGAAAGGTAGTATTTTTTTTTGTATATAATATGTAAACGGGAAACTCTGAGAAGGATAAGCGGAAAAGTTTTGAGTTGTTACATTTTGTCAGACACCAATGAGATTCGAGTGTGAGAGATTCAAATTGAAAAAAAAAATTGGAAACAAATTAAAAAGAAAAAATTACATTAGTTTTGCAAAAAAAAAAATTACAAAAAAAAATAAATGTAACCAAAATTGACAAAGAATTTAAATATTTTTTTCTTTTTAAAATTTTCTTTTACTATTTATACAAAAGGAGAATTTTTTTCTCTCTGACGAAAATTGCCTTTTACTACTTATCAATAAGAAAAAATAATACGAGTGCGAATTTTTTTCTTTGTAATACGAATATGAAAAATTTAATTATTTATTTATTGAAAAGTATAAAATTAAGAAAATTACTTTTGTTTGGCTAAAACTGCCTTTTAGTACTTATCGATAATAAATAGTAAAATTAGAAAATTTTTTTTCTACTAAATTATTTTGTCTGTAAAAAAAATTCATTGTTACTAATTTCAAAAAAAAATGAAGAAAATAGAAATTCTACTTTTTAAATATTCAATTCCGATTTAAATTCCATATTTTTATATAGAAATTCCAATTTCTATTTAGAAAAAAAAGTAGTTTTTAGTTAGGTAAAAAAAAAATTTATAAATTTATTAATCATCGGTACAAAATTAAAATTTGTTTTCGCCTGACTAAAAATGAATTCTACTTTTTGTTCTAAAAACAAAAATTACAAGTTTATAAAAAATTTTCTATTTAAGTCTTTCTTTCTTTTTTCTATTTCTTTCTTTCTTTTTTCTATTTCTTTCATAAGTTTTTTTTTCTATTTTATTGAATTTTCATTTATCCAAAAGAAAAATAATTTTTTGAATAATTTTTCAATTCTCACACTCGAAATTCTCGAAATACATGTCTAGGGTGCAAAAAGAAGGCCCAAGAGTCAATATAATTTTTTTTTTCTGTGAAGGTGTAGGTACTTTGAAGCGCACATGGTATATCGGATCACGTATCGGAAAAGCCAAATAATTCTCTAAAAGGACATTTTTTTTTCTAAATTTCCACAATTTTTTTTCTTTTTTTTTTTTTTTTTGACCTTTTGAGCGATTGAAAATTGTCCTCCAAGGTCGTTGGACTATTTTTAAGGCTTGGAATAATAATTATCATTATTATTATTATTTTTTTTATTATTATTATAATTATTATTATTATTTTTATTTTTATATTGGGAGTCAATTATCAAGCTATGTATTCGGGTTTTGAAGCGCGACTGATCCAATGTCCAGGTGACGCTGGTGTCCAAGGTATTGCAATATCCAATGTTGAAACATTGAGTTTACGATTTTTTTGTTTTGGACTCTTGGGCGGTGATTCTGCAAATGTAACACTTCTTCTTAATGAACGTCGTGGTGGTGGTGGCGGTGGTGGAGGAGGAAGTGGCGCAAGTAATGGAGGTGGTGGTGGTGTTGGTAGAGAAATTGCAGGCGAATCCTCCTGGCTGCTTAAACCTGCGTGTGTGTATTGCTGTGTACCTGATCGGCCTCCGCATTGCCAATCGCGTTGGCCGGCGCGTAGTACTGCAAAAAAAAGACAAAAAAAAAAAAAAAAAAATTGCAAAAAATTAGAAAATTATTTTTTATTAAAAAAGATAAATTAAAAAATCATTTTTTTTCATTTTTTGAAATTGAATATAGACAAAATTTTTGCGACACCCACAGAAAAAAGGTATATAATTTTTCTCGGAGCCAAATTAATATTTATTTGTTGCAAAGAAATAATTATTTGGAAATAATTATTTGGAAATAATTATTAATTTGGTTGCAAATAATTATTTATTCATAAATAAATTTATGGAAATTAATATTTATTTGTTGGAAATAATTACTTATTTGTTGGAATTAATTATTTATTTGTTGCGAATAAATAAATTTTTGTAAATTAATATTTATTTGTTGGAAATAATTAATTATTTGTTGCAAATAAATAAATTTTTGGAAATTAATATTTATTTGTTGGAAATAATTATTTATTTGTTGCAAATAATTATTTATTTTTTGCAAATAAATAAATTTTTGGAAATTCTTTGTTAGAAATTAATATTTATTTTTTGGAAATTATTTGTTGGAAATAAATATTTATTTTTTGGAAATAATTATTTATTTGTTGCAAATAAATATTAATTTTGTGGCAAATGATTAAAATTTTTGTTTGGCAATATATTTTTTATTTGATTTTAAATAAAAGAAAATTTCTATTTGTCATAAATAAAATTTTCAAATATTATAATTCAATTTGAATTGATGATTAATTAATTATATTTTACTCCTTCGTTTTTTTTTACTTTTTTTTTTTTTTTGAATAAATTGAGAAATCTAAACTACTTCTATATGAGAAAATTGAGAAATTTTCCACCATGCGACGATTTCTAAAAAGTCAATGCATTCTCATAATAGATATGAGCGAAACGTCGCGTTAAGCCATGCCTCTTTTTATGCGATAAGCCAATACGTATATCAAAAGCAGGTTTTTTGAAAAAAAGGGTCAAGGGAAAGGTTATTTTTTTTTGTATATAAAAATTTTTGTAGTATTTGCTATTATCATTAAAAGACACGGAAACAAAAAAGAAAAAAAAAACCAAAAAAATAGAAAAAAATAAAAAAATATAGAAAATTATAGAAATAATAGAAAAAAATTGAAAAAAATAAAAAAATATAGAAAATTATAGAAAAAATAGAAAAAAATTGAAAAAATACAAAAAAATTGAAAAAATACAAAAAAAATAGAAAATTATAGAAAAAATTGAAAAAATACAAAAAAAATAGAAAAATGTCGTAGATTATGTTTGAATATGTATGGAAGGGAAATTTGGGGCGTTAATCAAGGGCGAGTACTCACATATGGTCCCGGGCAAGGCGCATGCATCCTCCGTCTAACTCTGCAGTCCGTACCACTAGAGACAAGAAACAAAAAGTAGAACGAAACGATAACATAGCTTTCTACTTGTAGCCTAAAATGAGAAAAAATACTTTACAAAAATAATAATTATAATAAGAGGGAAAAAAAGTCGTAGGACCTGCGCAAACACTCAGCCAATTTTACTTCATTCATTTGTCTTAAAAATTCAGTTTTTTTTTTTTTTATCGTCAGTTTATTTTTTTTCCATTCTGTATATTCTTTGATTCCGTCATTTTTGTATTATTTTCTAAACTAAAAAAAAAAGAAAATTTCTTTTCTTATTTCTATATTTTTTTTTCTAAATTGACTACCCAGGTGCGAATTTCGGTCGGCCGCCAGAGTTGGTTCGTCGGCCCATGGTCGGCCCAACTCTGGCTGCCGACCGGTCGGCAGCCAGAGTTGGGCCGACCATGGTAAATATTTGCACCCAAAGTTGGGCCGACTATGGCTGCCGACGTCGGCAGTCACAGTTGGGCCGACCATTGCAGCCATAGTTGGGCCGACTATGGGGGATTATGGTCGGCACAACCTTGGCAGCCATAGTTGGGCCAACCTTGGCTGCCATAGTTGGGCCGACCATGGGGGACAATGGTCGGTACGACCTTGGCAGCCAAGGTCGGTCCAACCTTGGCTGCCATAGTTGGGCCGACCATTCTTCCCCATAGTCGGCCAAACTATGGCAGCCACAGTTGGGCCGACTAGGGGGAGAATGGTCGGCATGACTTTGAAAACCGCAGTTGGGCCGACTACGGGGAATGTAGTCAGCATGACTGGCAGCCGAGTATATCGATGGTCGGTATATCAAGGATTACAGAATTATTTTTCTCAAAAGAAACACGATTGTTGTCGTGTTGTGCTAAACAACAATAAATTTTCTTGCGAGATATTATTTGCTTACAAGTGGAATGTCAAAAGTTAAGTTCGATTGATTTATAAAATGATTAAAGCGAAATCGAATTATGAGAGGATACAAAAATATAGATTTCTATCTAAATGTGAAAAGAGGAGAAACAATGAAATTTGCGAATCCGTTGATTTATCAAATCAACATGAAGATAAGACTTTATTACCGTCTTGTGAAGAAACGGCAATTAATTGCAAGTATGTATAACTATTAGGTTTTTTATAACGCAATATATGTTTAGATAAATTTGGTAATTTTTGTACAAAAAGAATAAGTTTAATTTTAAGGTTATGCCACAAAAATGTTTTGCCATTGATATAATATACTTCATAAAAATGCAATTTTTATTGCTATTAAATGTTATGTTATGTTACCTTACAATATTTTTTAAATTTCAATTTTGTATATCACTAATATTTATTCTAATAAGCCTTGATAAAAATGTAAATAATAGCGATTTTAACAATTTTTTATTTTGATAATGTTTTCAATCATCAAAATTGTATGTGTTTAATTATTTTAGATTACCTGATGAATGTCGAATGGAAGTGTCTTATTCTGAATCATTTAATATTGATGAAGATTTAATGAAAAATAAATCGGAAACATTTTCTGAATGTTTAACTGAAAATTTTCAAAATGCAACAGAAAATAATTCGGAACCGATTGCGATTGACGAAACTGAACTTGATCAATTTCAATTTTCTGAAGAGACAGTCGGCCCGTCCAAGGCCCATAGTTGGGCCGACCATCATAAAGTAAATTTCTCTCCTACCATTGACAAATGTAAAATGTTTTTGTTAATTTACTTGTAATTGATTAATTTAAAAAGAAAAAAGGTTATATGTGATTAATTTATTATTTTGAATTACTAACTTTAATTTTTTTCAAGCTGTAGCTTATAACATTTATTTTTCTCCGTGACTCATATGTCATTGCGTAGTGTAGTGGTTAGCGTATTAGACTGCGGTGCGTTAGGTTGCGAGTTCGATCCCTGCGAGCGTTAAAAATTTTAATTTGTATATATGTATGTTTACGATTGCGTTTAGTGTTTAAGTATATAAAATAAATGTATAATGAATTTAAAATGATTACTAATATATGTTATTTGTATAACAAATTTTTATATTTTAATGTTTATGGTCGGCAAAATTTTAGCTGCCAAGGTTGGCCCAACCATGGCAGCCATAGTCGGCCCCGTCAAGTTGGATGGTCGGCAGCCAAGGTCGGCCGACGTTATCAATTCGCTAGTTGGCCCGACCATCGGCAGCCATAGTCGGGCCGACCAAGGCTGCCATAGTTGGGCCGACTATCATAGCCGACGGTCGGCAGCCATAGTCGGGCCGACCATGGCAGCCATAGTTGGGCCGACCTCGGCTGCCTTAGTCGGGCCGACTATGGCTGCCGACCGTCAAGTTGGATGGTCGGCAGCCAAGGTTGGCCCAACTATGGCTGCCATGGTCGGCCCGACTATGGCTGCCGACCGTCGGCAAGGATGGTCGGCCCAACTAGGGCAGCCTTGGTCGGCCCGACTATGGTACCCATAGTCGGTCCAACTTAGTCGACCATAGGTCGGCCGACGTTATCAATTCGCTAGTTGGCCCGACCTCTGGCTGCCCGAGGTGGGCCGACCATGCACATGGTCGGCCCGACCATGGGCCGACCGACAATTCGCACCTGGGTATATATATTTTTTCACCTAAAAATCACCCCCATTCATACGTTGATAATATAAATTAAAAAAAACAACTTTTTAACGCAGCTAATCGCATGCCAAGCTTTTTTTTTCTATACACGATAGCATTGAATCAAATGCATTACAGTCGTAAATTGATTAATTGTAAATTGGAATTATTTTTGAAAAAAAAAAATTGTTGACAGAAAATAATAAGTTTTTTTTTCAATTACAAACAATTATAATTTTTGTTATTATAAAACAAAAATATTTAGCAAAATCATAATGAAGAAAAAAAATAATTACAATTTTGTTTTATAAAATAAATATTTTGCAAAATCATAAAAAATATTTTTTTGAAAAATGTTTTTTTTTTAAAGACAATTCGACAATATTCGACCGTAGTTTTAAAAAATGAGCAGCCTCTCTTGCCACAAATATTTACAAAATTTATTGGTATTTATTTTTCACTTACCCGGCCGTTGTCGAAGTCACGACCACCCCCGATTGTTAATCGGGCTTTCGCCTTCATTGCGTCTGATAATGGTATCTGGAGAAATAAATTATTTAATATTTTGTGGGGAAAAAAAAAAAAAAAAATTAAAAATATATAAATTTTTTTGCAGGAAATTTTTTTTTTCAAGTACCTTTGCTCTCGTAGCTTCTGAATGTGATTTATAGCAAAATTCTAGTAAAGCTACTGCCAATGCAAGCAAAAGTCCTCCTATTAAAATGTAGAAAATTCCCGCGACGTTACTTAAAGTTAATTCATTTCTCGTCGCGTCCTGCTTATCTCCATGCCTGCACTCTGATCGATCGTACCACCACTTATTATAAAGTTTTTCTAACTCCCCTGATTCCTTTAGCGCTAGGACTTCAATATTAATCTCATCTCTGAAACAAAGTATTTTTATTATTCCAAAGTTTTTTTTTTATTTTATTTTATTTTATCATTTTTCTATGATATAATTTATTTAAATCATTTATAATTTATTAAAATTATTATAATTATTATAAATATTATAATTATTATAATTATTAAAATTATAAAAATTATAAAAATTATTATAATTATTATAATTATTATAATTATTAAAATTATTAAAATGATTATAATTATTAAAATTGTTATGAAATATTATATTATTAATATTTATTTTATAATTTATTTTATTTTAATTTATTTTTATTATGATAAAAATTTTCAATAAAAAAAATATTGAATTGGAAAAAATTTGTAATATAAAATATTTGTAAAATATAAAAGAAATGAAAAAAAATTTATTTTTGTACCTAAAAGGTGAACCAATGGGTGTAGCAATTCCAAATCCTCTGGCATCGAGATGTCTACCAACTTTTATTGTATCACAAGGCTCTCTCTCATTGATGTAATCATTTTTTGGACTTTCAATTAAAAGTGCATATTTTCCTTTACTGTTTCTCACTTTTTCTATACCTTTATCGTAAGTGGTTACGAATACTTCTTTTCTTGCATTCATAAATTCCCACATTTTACTGTAGAGACTGATTTGTGATTTCTAAATATATTTAAAAAAACACAAAAAATTTTATTATAAAAAATTAATTTTAGTTCAAAAAAATATAACCAAAAATATAACAAAAAAAAAAAAATAAAAAAAAAATAAAAAAAATAAATAAATAAAAAAATTTTTTAATATAGTAAAGAAACCAATTATTTACATTGAAAAAAAATTTATTTGATTCAAATATTCGGTTACCATTATCAAAAATATAATTTACTTGATTCAAATATTCGGTTATTATCAAAAAAAAAAAATATATTTATTTGGACCAAATAATTTCTGTATTTGATGTAAATAAATTTGATAATAGTTAAATAAACGATTATTTGAATACAAATAATTTTTTTTTTTCATTGTATTGTAATTTTGTGAAAAATTGAAAATTTACCCTAAAGAAATCCCAAGTAGAACCATGTTGAAGTGTTCCATATTGAACCTCTGTTTGTGCTGCCAAATCTTCTGGCGAATTAATTGGAGTTACCATTCTCTCAACTGTGAGAAACGCTGCCAAATTTGCAGTGTACGACGAGATTAAAATCAAAGTAAAAAACCACCACACACTGCCCACTATTCGCCCCGAAATGGATCTAATAAAATTGAAAAAAAAAACAATTTCTTACAATTTTTCCCATGGATGCAATTAAAAAAAAAATTTTGTACAATTTTTTCCATGGATAAAATAAAAATTTTTTTACAATTTTTCCCATGGATAAAATAAAAATTTTTTTACAATTTTTCCCATGGATAAAATAAAAATTTTTTTACAATTTTTCCCATGGATAAAATAAAAATTTTTTTACAATTTTTCCCATGAATAAAATTTACAAAAAAATTACAATTTTTCCTATGAATAAAATTTACAAAAAAATTACAATTTTTCCCATGAATAAAATTTACAAAAAAATTACAATTTTTCCTATGGATAAAATTTAAAAAAAAAAATTACAATTTTTCCAATGGATAAAATTAAAAAAAAAATTAATTTTCCCTATGGATAAAATATTAACCTTCGCTTGACAAGATGCCCACCCAGGGTGGGCCAGACAAATTGAAATTGCCATATCTTCTAAAGTTTTGCCTTAATTGAATCGCGATTTTAAGTCACTGAACAAAATCTTAAGAACTTTCAAAAAATGTAAAAACAAATTTTTAAAAAAAATTTCTTCTTGATTATTTATAACTTTTATCAATGTATGTACGGAGATAACCGGGATGATTCAGATATTTTTTTAATTCTATTTTACAAAAAGACTTGAAATCATGCAGACTTTTCACTGTGAGTGTTTTATGATGTCAAATAATAGATATAAAAAATATTATATTGCATTTTTCATTTGTTTAAACAATTTATTGTTATTATTTATTAACTTTTTTTGTTCTGCACCTACAAAGATGCAGTTTTTTCTAATTTTGCAATTTATCAAGCGGAATATAATAAAAGATAGATTTGATGTAAAATTATTAATTCAACAATTGTTTAAACAATTTATTGTTGTTATTTACTAACTTTTTTTGTACGGCACCTGGAAAGTTGCCGTTTTTTTCTAATTTTGCAACTCATCAAGCCGAATATAATAAAAGATAGATTTGATGTAAAATTGTAAATTCAACAATTGTTTAAACAATTGTTAAATTAGTAAATTTATGTCAAATCTGTCTGGCTATATTATATTCGGTTTGATAAATTGCAAAATTAGGAAAAAACTGCATCTTTCTAGGTACACTACATGAAAGTTAATAAATAACAACAATAAATTGTTTAAACAATCGTTTGAATACTAAATTCATATAAAATCTTCATGTTTATTATGTTGAGCTTGTTAAGTTGCAAAATTAGAAAAAAATTGCAACTTTATTGGAACATTATAAAGAAAGTTAATAAATAGCAACAATTATTTGTTTAAACAATTGGTTAAATAGTAAATTCATATAAAATCTTTGTGTTATTATGTTGTGCTTGTTAAGTTGCAAAATTAGAAAAAAATTGCAATTTTCTAGGAATATTATGAAGAATGTTAATAAATAGCAACAATTATTTGTTTAAACAATTTATAATAATAGTTGTTGCAAATTGAATTATATATTTTATTTTATTTATAACCTTTGAATTAATAACTACGAAGAAAAGGTAACAAATTTATAAAATTCTTCTACTGTCGTATGTATATTTCAAAAGGTTATAAATTATTAATAATAAATTGTTTAAACAAATAAAAAATCAACAAAACATTAATAAAATATATTATTTAGTAACATATAACAATTTTGGAAAAAAACTGAATGATTCTAAGTTTTTATTGCAATATACAAAGAAGAAAACATTTGGCCCACCCTGGGTGGGATCTTGTCAACCGTGTATATAAAAAGTATCCAGTCCGGCGAAGGTTAAAAAAATATTAATTTTTCCTATGGATTTTCCTATGGATTTTCCTATGGAAAAAATTAATTTTCCCTATGAATAAAATAAAAAAAAAAAAATTTCCAATTGTTAACCTAAATAATTATTTTTGAAAAAAATTTAATTTCAAAGAATGTAAAATTAAAAATTTAATATTTACATACTAAAAAAAAAGTGAGAAAAAAAATACACGAAATAAAAGAAACAGATTAGAATTTGATAGATTAGAGTGTACAGAGGGGAAGATAAAGTGAATATTTCCCAGTGAGGATAATTAGCGAGGAAAATAGTTCATGCGTGCTGCACGTATACGTGTTATAGTTTTCGAGATCCTTTTATATATATACTATTGAGTTAATATCTGACTCCACCACATTTATATTATACATACATATATATATATATGCCATTATGTAACCACTGCAACTGGTTTCAATTAAAATTGAAGAAAGTTTTGCGCCACAGTGAATGCATTTTAAGTACACTGTTTCAAATTAAATTAAATTAAATCGTGTAATAATTTCAAAAAAAAATATTTCTTTTTTACACCTTTGTAAAAACAAAAATATTTCTTTTTTACACCTTTGTAAAAACAAAAATATTTCTTTTTTACACCTTTGTCAAAAAAAAAAAATTATTTCTTTTTTACACCTTTGTCAACAAAAAAATTATTTTACAATATTTATTTTCCTTTTTTTTTGAATAATTAATTAATTTATTTAATGAAAAATGAATTTAAAAAAAAAATATTGAAAAATTTAATTATTTATATATTACCTGGGAGAAATGTCACATCCTTGTTGCATAAAAGCTCCCAGTGAAAACCAAAGACTATTTAGAATACTGAAATCATTAGTCATGCTTGATTGTTGCATGTGAGGTGATCCTTGTGGTCCATGGGGATGTTGCATGGAAGGATCTCCTCTCAGACCTAATCTAGGATCCCCACCACCGAGCGATAAGACTCTCCATTCGTAAGGTGAAAACCTTAATTAACGAATAAATTGAGAAAAATTTTTTTAATTAGAATAATTAATATACATTTATATAAAAAAATAATTTTAAAAAAATAATTAAATGAAAATATAAATAATTTACAAAGATAATATTTATTTTTAAATAATTATTAATAATATTAATATATTACCTCTACACCCACAGAAAAGATTTCTTTGATTTAAAGAAACCAGTTTCTTTGACTTGTTTTCTTTGATTCAAAATAAAATTTTCTTTGAAACAAAAAAAGCTTCTTAGTTTCAAAGAAAATTTCTTTGATTCAACAAAATTTTCTTTGAATGAAAGAAATTTGTGCATTACATCGAATAAATTCTGACATTGATATAGGGTCAAAGAAACATTTATTTGAATTAAATAACAAATTTTTTTTGAAACGAAGATAATTTTTTTTTAATCAAAGATAATTTGTTTGAAACAAATAAATTTTCTTTGAATCAAAAAAAAATTTGTCAAAGAAATCTTTTTTCTCGGTGTATATAATAAATTTGAATTAGTATAATAATAATAATTATTATATTATGTAGTAATTATTATAATTATAATAATTCATAATTAATAATATAATTATATATTTAATTATAAATTTATTATATAATATAATTGTTATATTATGTAATAATTATATTATATTTATATTATATTTATATTAATTAATAAAAGTAGTTAATTGATTAAATTCATAAGATAATTAATTTTTCTTTTAATCACCTGGAGACAATAAATAGGACAATTGACACTCCAATATATGAAAAGATGACACAGACCCAAATTTCCTTGCTTAGTGGATTTAAAAAACTGAAAACTCCTGGAATTGTTTTTACTGGTTTTTTGATCATAATACTAATTCCCAGTGACATGAAGGGTTTACTGAATTCAATTACTCTTTCGCGTTCCGATGTTATTGTCATTGATGCAATTGCCATATCCGCTTCCTGAAAAAAAAAGTTTATATTTTCAATAAAAAACAAAAAAAAATTGAGATTTAAAAATTGACAATTAAAAAGTGAAAAAAAAATTATTATTTTATAATAATAATTAATAAATAATAATTTTTTATATAATAAATAAATAATCCATTTTTTTATTTAGTAATAAATTATAATTTTTTTTTTAATAATAAATAATAATTTTGTTTTAATAATAAATAATAATTTTTTTTTAATAATAAATAATAATTATTTTTTATTTCTATAAATAATTAATTTTTTTTTTATTTCTATTAATAAATAAATTATTGTATCGATATATTGAAAATTTTCGAATTTTAATAAAAATTTAATTTCTTTCTCTCTCATTTTTTTGAGGGAGAAATAAAAAATAATTTTTATTAAATGTGACAATAAAGAGATTATGAATTAAAATTTTCTCTCTGCTACCATGTAGTTACGTTCTAATGTACGTCATTTGGAGTATTTTGACCTTACGCCAAATGATATCATCTCGAGCACGTGGATAGATAACGTTATTATTTGGGATACCTACGCGCACACAAATGAAATTACACCACAATCTGCCGATCGATGTTTCGCATTTAACCACCGAAATATTAATTTCTATTCTTGATAGATATCTCATTATTTTTGTTATTAAACAAATTTTTTTTAAATTTTACATTAAATTTTGTTTATATTTGAAATTTATAAATAAAGTAAATAAAAAAATCGAAAATAAAAAAATTTATATAAAAAATCCAATTTTTTTAATAAATAATTAAAATTAATTATTAATTATTAATTTTAATTCAAATAAATAATTATTATAAATAAAAATAGAAAAATAAACAAAAATTTTGAAATAATTAAACTGAAAATATTTGTTTTTTGTTAATATTGATATTATTTTTAATGTGAAAAAAAATTCCAATAAAATGTAACAATTTATTTTTTATTTAAAAATTAAAAAAAATCAATTTTTTTCTTTTACAGAAAACATGACGATTAAGTTTGGAGAATCACCGACAGATGGAAGTGTTTTTGAATATTGGAGAAGCTTGCAAGCTCGAGTCCTCTTTCGTTTGGCGCACGAAACAAGAAAATATTTTCCCAAGGTAAATAACAAAATATTTATTAATTATTTTGTAATTTCCGTGATCAATATTTGATGTCTCGATGGGAAATAGAATTCGATATTTCATATTCGATTTATTTGTGGTATTATATATATATATATTTATAATACAAAAAATATTTATTAATTTAAATAATTTATTAATTTAAATAAATATTTATTAATTTAAAAAATGAGTTTAAAAAAAATTTAAATTTATTTTTTTCAATTTAAATAAAAAATATTTGAAATTAATAAATACAAATTTTTTTCAACAAGAAAATTTTCCGTTAAATATTAAATAAGGATTACTTTGATAAAATAATTTTATTCATATACGAGTATAATTATAATTTTAGAATAAGGATTTAATTAAGATTATTATATATGAGAAATTTATTGAGTAATTTTAATTTGCTTTAATTATTATTAACTATTACACTTACTTCTCTAATTAGTTCGCCCACCATTCCATCCCAACCGCCGGCTATATCCGGATTTTCGGAACCATATTTTTTATCCTTAACAATTCGTAGTTCATCTGAAAAGAATTTTTTTATAATAAAATTTGTATAGAATATTATAATTGGTTTAAACCACAAAATGAACTAATAATTAAATTTTTAAAGATGCAAATTTTTAAATTTGTTTAAAAATTTTTTTGCATACTTTTTTCTACTGCTTTTGACATAAAAATTTCGTTTTATTATGAAGACTATAGAAATGATTTATTTGAATTCAATTAAAATATATTTGAGTTAAATAAACGTATATTTTCTCACGCCCATTTATTTGGCGGAAATAAAATTATTTATTTAAATCAAATGAAAATTTATTTGAATAAAAAAAAATTTATTTAAATAAAAAAAAAATTATTTGAATCAAATAAATATATTTTTGAATTAAATAAATATTTATTTGAATAAAAAAAATTATTTGAATCAAATAAATATATTTTTGTATTAAATAAATATTTATTTGAATAAAAAAAAATTAATTGAATCAAATAAATATATTTTTGAATTAAATAAATATTTATTTGAATAAAAAAAATTATTTAAATCAAATAAAAATATATTTTTGAATTAAATAAATATTTATTTGAATAAAAAAAAATTATTTGAATCAAATAAATATTTACTAGGCTGTGAGACAAATATACCATTTTACTGGGTAGAGAAAAATTATTATTATTGTGAAATAAAAAAATAGAGAACTTACAAGTTATGTTTAGCCTTTTCGAGATAAAATCAGCAAGATCTTTGCAATAACCTTCATAACGATCATTGCCAACGAATTCTTTCCTTGGATCAGGTTTTAGCATAATATAAGGCTCCTCCTGTAATTCATAAAAAAATAGTTACAAATTTAATTAGCAATTAATTACATTATTATTTATTATTTATTTAATATATTAATTATTAATTATATTAATATTCTATATTAATTAATAAATTATATTAAAATTCTTAGATATAATTGTAATTGATTAAGAATATTTATAATATAATTTTTATATTATTATTTAATTAATATTTATAAATTGTAAAATTAATTTTCTTGAATTTTTATTTTATTTGAATAATTATACTTTTCGAAACATTTACAACATTTAGAGTTTAATAATTTTTTTTTAATACCAATTTTTATCGTGTTTTATAGCAGTATTATTGAGATAAGGGGGTTTTTTTTCAAAATTTTATAGACCATTAAAAAATATATAACAATAAATAAATTTTGTTTTATGAATGTATATTCACTTACAATTATTGTTGTTACAATGTGAGTTCGATTTCTATCTTTTATTGATTTTGGTCGCGAATACTCTGCTGACACTGGTTTGAAACCCTCTTCTTCTGACCAATTTGCCACCTTAGGAAAAAAAATAGAAAATTAATAGAAAAAAAAATAGAAAATTAATAGAAAAAAAAATAGAAAATGAAAATTTTATTTTCAAAAGAAATTTAATAATTAATAGAAAATTAATAGAAAATTAATAGAAAAAAAAATAGAAAATGAAAATTTTATTTTCAAAAGAAATTTAATAATTAATAGAAAATAATTAATAGAAAATTAATAGAAAATGAAAATTTTATTTTCAAAAGAAATTTAATAATTAATAGAAAATTAATAGAAAAAAAAATAGAAAAAAAATAGAAAATGAAAATTTTATTTTCAAAAGAAATTTAATAATTAATAGAAAATAATTAATAGAAAATTAATAGAAAATTAATAGAAAAAAAAATAGAAAACAAAAATTTTATTTTCAAAAGAAAAATTGAAAAAAAAACAAATTTGAAACAAAAATTCTTAAGTAAAAAAAAAAGTAAAAAGAAAAATTAGAAAATGTGTTAGGAGGGATAAAATAAGGGAGACTATATATAGTCTGTATAAATTAGAGGGTGAGATAAGTAAATACACACTTTGACCATTGCGCTGTTAATAGTCATTTCCACGACGTGAAGAGTGTAATTAAAGCGTCGTCCATCTTCCTTGAAACGAATCAAACCCGTGAGTCCTTCTACTTCGACCTGAAAGCATTATAAACATTGTCAAGAATCTGTCAATCATTTGTTCGGAACTTTTTTTTCACGATAAATTTACTTTTTAGGTTTTTTTTTTAGTTTTTGGAATGGACCAAAATTTACTTTTTATTCTTTGAAAAAAAAATATTTTTTTTTATTGAAATATTGAAACTTTTTCGAAATTAAATGAATAAAATTGGCAATTATTATTGAAGAAAATTGATATAAAAATGTAAATAATAAATAAAAAAAAATATAAATACAAAAATATACACAAAAAATTAAAAGGCATTAAAATAATCTGTAACGCTTATTATTTTAATCCAATTTTGCTTATTTCAATCCATTTTGGTATTACAATAGGCAAAATTGGATTAAAATAATAAGCGTTGCAGCTTATTTTAATGCCTTTTAATTTTCTGTGTAAATGTAAAAATATAAATGTAAAAATATAAATTTAAAAATATAAACGTAAAAATATAAATACAAAAATATAAATATAAAAATATAAATGTAAAAATATAAATGTAAAAATATAAATGTAAAAATATAAATACAAAAATATAAATGTAAAAATATAAATGTAAAAATATAAATGTAAAAATATAAATGTAAAAATATAAATGTAAAAATATAAATGTAAAAATATAAATGTAAAAATATAAATACAAAAATATAAATATAAAAATATAAAAGTAAAAATATAAAAGTAAAAATATAAATTACAAAAATATTAATATAATAATATAGAAATAATATAAAAGAATTTATTTATTTTATTCTTTTTTTCCGCGAAATATTGAAACAAATTTTCGTTATTAAAAGAATAAAATTGTCAATTATTATTATTGAACAAAAAAAAAGGATAAATAAAAAGTTTAAAGTAGTTTCTAATTAAAATGTATAAAAATTTTTTTTTCCCCTCTAATTGATATAATTAAATCCCCTATATAAAAAAAGAACACTTTGTGATTAAAGCTCATCTGTCGACGCAAAATACTATATATATATAGGAGAGAAAATGTAGAACATGAAAACTCTCGAACAGGGACGCTCTGGTTTTCCAAACGGCATTCTAGTTGAGGCCAAAGAAATGCCAATTACTGTCACCGACAGATGTTAAATTTAAAATCTCCAAATGTCCCATGTTCATTCGAAATTTGAACTTTTAGTCTCGTTTTTTTTTTAAAGATACAATACCCTGCGGTATTTTTTAAAGTTTTAAATTTTTTCCCTTTTTTTGTTATTATTTGTAAATTAAATTTTTTCCCTTTTTTTGTTATTATTTGTAAAATAAAATAACTAAATTAAATATTAAGTAGTAAAAAAAAATTCGATATTTTCAAAATATATATAGAAGAAAAATAAATAAATAATTTTATTGCAAAAGTAATGTGGCAATTAGTGCTTGTAGATTATCAACGTGAACGTTGATTAAAGTTATTTAAGAATTCTCTTAGTGTCGAGTCATGTTATTAGGCAGTAAAGCACTTTGGGGGGTTTTTTTTTGCTTATCTAAACATCGAAGCTTCGTGAAAGACTTAATTTTCAAGAAACTTATTTTGCATCAAACGCTAAGCTACAAACTTCTCATTTTGCATAAATGATATAAATATATATATACTAATGGAAAAAAATCTCTAGGGAAAAAAAAATCATTTTAAAATATATTAGCCTGTACATTGTAATTAAATAAATAAATAAATATTTCCCAATTAATTTTTTTTTAGTAAAACTAAATAACGTATTTGAATTACGCAACGTTTATATAAACGATTTTTAAAGAAATAATTTTTTAAAATGAAAAATTCTATAATTTTTTACCTAAAAAATATTTTTTTTATAATTTGTTGATTAATGTAAACTGCAAGAAATATTGTTTAGGCAAAAAATTATAGAATTTTTCATTTTAAAAAATTATTTCTTTAAAAATCGTTTATATAAACGTTGCGTACTTCAGCTTCGTAACTAAATACAAAATATTCTATATAGAAAAAAATTGTAATTTTTTTCAATTTTGTTAGCTACATTATAAAAAAAAGTAATCTTGATTCTAGCGAATTCCTCTTAATTTGATACATATTTTCCTCTTATATACACTCAGAGAAATGGTATATTTGTATCCGAGCCTACTAACTCATTTATTTGTTGCAAATATATATTTCATTTCATTGAAATAAAAAATTTATTTGAGCCAAAGAAAAATTTATTTCTGACAAAAAAAAATTTATTTCTGACAAATAAAATTTTTATTTACGCCAAATAAATAAGTTAGTATTAGGCTCTGAGACAAATATACGTTTATTAAACTCAAATATATTTTATTTGGTTCAAATAAATCATTTCTCTGGGTGGTATCAAAAGTAATAGTCTTCACTTGAGAGGATTTTCCTCTCGCATATATAATTTGACAATTATGGTTATAAATTGATAAAGAAAAGCTATTATCATGCATTAAATTAAATATCTTTAATTAAATATTAAATATAATTAATGATTTATAGTTAATTACTTACATTAATTAATAGATTTTTTTTATTTATTTAACTTTAATTCAGTGTTTTTGACATCAGAACCTCAAAAAAAATTGTTTTATTTTATTATTAGTCAACAAAGAATAAAAATATTCTACATTCAAGTGGAATACTTTTGTTTTAAGAGGAAAAATTGAGAGGATATTAGAAGAGGATTTTTCCTCTAAATATGAGATTACTTTTTTCAGGGTGTAGGAAAAAAATTGTAATTTTTTTCTAATTTTGTTAGTTAAGAAAAAAATTGAAATATACATTTTTTTAAATTAAAATTTTTTATTATTTTGGAATATTAAAAAATATTTTAATTATTATTTAGAATATTAAAATATTTTAATTATTATTTAGAATATTAAAATATTTTAATTATTATTTAGAATATTAAAATATTTTAATTATTATTTAAATATTAAATTATTTTAATTATTATTTTAAATATTAAAATATTTTAATTATTATTTTAAATATTAAAATATTTGAATTATTATTTAAATATTAAAATATTTTAATTATTATTTAAATATTAAATTACTATATTAAAATTGACGAACCTTTCTCAAAAGTTTGGATATTTTGTCACCATGCTCCCAGGGTGTTACCCAACCTTGATTAGGATTGCAATCGAGTGATCTTGTTGCATTTATTGATGTATTTGGAATTGGTACACCAGTGCGTCTCTGATTACTTCGATCGGGTTTTTTTCGTGTAAATTTATTAAAAGCTTCCACAAGCACATATACTGCATCGTACATCAATGCGGCTCCCGCCTATTAAAAAAAAAAACGAAGAAAAAAAATGCATATTAAATTCTTTGAAAACTTAATTTTAATTATAAAAATTTTATTACGTTACATGTATCTAATTATTAATTTTTAAAAACAAATATTTAATAAAGATTTAAATTTACAAACGGGTGATAAATCCTTTATTTTATAATAATAATAATAATAATAATAATAATTTTTTTATATTTATTATATTTTTAAATAAATTTTACTTTGTAGAATATATTTTCAAATGAATTATTTCCAATATTTTCCCTGTTTTTTTTTAATTTTCAATATTTTGAAAATAGTATGTGACGTATATTATTTAATATTCATGAAAAATGTGAGGAATTTTATTTTTTGTCACTGTTAATAAAAATAATTTAACAAAAAAATTCTACAAAAGAAATATATTTATGTTTTCTTTCTTCTATTTTTGCTACAGTAATTATTTTAATTATACGTCATGTAATGGAAAATTTGTTTTTAAAAACAAGGTACATTAAAATTAAGTCATTTTTTTCAAATTAAAAATATGAAATATAACAATTACTTGGAAACTTTTTTTTCAATTTTTGTGATTTGAAAAAAGTCGTGTCAGAAAATTTTCCGCATTTCAAATAGTTTTTAAAAGTTTTCATACTTTTCCGAAATATTGACAATGTTTATATATGCAATTTATATAAATATATATATATATATATATATTACACTTACGGAAATAGATTGTCGACCGGAGCCAGCATGTACCGCGGGGTCTTGCCGGCGCCAGTTTTCGAGAAACTCCTTGACGTAGGGTCGGGAGTCGTCGACGATGCGAAACCCAGTGATGTTGATGGCACCGTACTCGATCACTTCGCTTTCCCAACGGTCGTCCATTATCTGATTACAACAAATGCAAAGAGTTTATGTAAAGTTCAATTTATCCTCCTTTCATCGCCACAGGGAAACACACGCCCTTCAGTAAAATAATAAAATAGAAATAGAAATAAAAAAAAAACAACAACAACAACAACAACAACTAACCGGAAGTATCATATTTTAATATGAGGAAACAATACAAAAAAAATATATGCTTTTACCTTCATTTTTTTTTCACTCAAAAATATCCGCTTTTCATTACACATAACATAACAAAAAAAAGAAATGCAATATTTATTTTTTGTAAATATTTTTCATCAACAAGTGATATATACTTTTGATGTGAAAAATTTTATTGCGATTAAAAAAAAAAAACAGGGAAACTATTGCGGAAAGCTTACAATGTTGAAAGTGGAAGGAATAAATCTGTTTTTTAAAATGATTTTTTAACATTAAAATATTCCAAATTTGTACCACAGCGTTTAATTAACTTTAATTCGATTTGAATTTGATTTCACTTTGAAATTCCTTGAAAAAATTGACCTCTAAGTGACCTTGACTTGACCTAAAAATAACCTTGAATCTCTTTAAAATGACTTGACCTTCAAATAACGTTGAATGTCCTTGAAATGACTTTGACTCGACCTTCAAATGACCTTTAAATGACCTTCATATAACCTCGAATGTCCTTGAAATGAAATGACCTTGAAATGACCTTCAAATGACCTTGAAATGACCTTGAAATGATCTTGAAATGACCTTGAAATGATCTTGAAATGACCTTGAAATGACCTTCAAATGACCTTGAAATGACCTTCAAATAACCATGAATGTCATTGAAATGACTTGTCATTCAAATAGCTTTGAATTTCCTTGAAATGACCTTGACTCGACCTTGAAATGTTCTTTAAATGACCTTGAAATGACCTTGAAATGACCTTGAAATGACCTTGAAATGACCTTTAAATGACCTTTAAATGACCTTTAAATGACCTTGAAATGACCTTCAAATAACCTTTAATGTCCTAGAAATGGGTTGACCTTCAAATAACCTTTAATGTCCTGGAAATGAGTTGACTTTCAAATAGCGTTGAATGTCCTTGAAATGACCTAGACTCGACCTTCAAATGACCATAAAATAACCTTCATATAACCTTGAATGTCCTTGACAAGACCTTGACTCGACCTTCAAATGACCTTGAAATGACCTTTATATAACCTCGAATGTCCTTGAAATGACCTGACCTTTAATTAACGTTGAATATTCTTGAAATGATCTTGACATGACCTTGAATCTCCTTGAATTGACCTTGACCTTCAAATAACCTTGAATTGACTTAAAATAATATTAACTTGACCCTAAAGTGACCATGAATGTCTTTAAAATGAACTTGAAATAACGTTGACCTAAATTAATGTTTTTAAGTAGTAAAAGTTAATTTTTAGTCGGACAATTTCTTTTTGTTTAAGAATTAAGTAGAGAAGGTCAATTCCTAGTGAGACGGAATTAAAAAAAAATTATTTTTTTTAAATAAAATTTAGATTATTAATAAATTTATCGTCAGAATAAGAATTGTGAAATTTATTTTTATTTAGGTCATAAGTAGTAGAAGTCAATTATAGTCAGACATCAGTTACTAAAAAATTTGGAATTAAGTAGTAGAGGTCAATTTCAGTCAGACGTTAATTTCTCTTCAAGTAGAAAAGGACAGTTTCAGTCAGACAGCAGTTACTAAAAAATTTAGAATTAAGTGGTAGAAGTCAATTTCAATCAGACAGCAGTTACTAAAAAAAATTAGAATAAAGTAGTAGAAGTCAATTTTAGTCAGACAGCAGTTACTAAAAAATTTAGAATTAAATAGTAGAAGTCAATTTCAGTCAGACGTTAATTTCTCTTCAAGTAGAAAAGGACAGTTTCAGTCAGACAGCAGTTACTAAAAAATTTAGAATTAAGTAGTAGAAGTCAATTTCAGTCAGACGTTATTTTTTCTTTAAGTGGAAAAGGTCAGTTACAGTTCGACACAATTTTTTTTTTTTTTTAATTAAATTTCACCAAAATATCTTTATCTGAAACAGCGATATATTTCTCTAGAATAGCGAAAACTTTCGCTGTTTTAGAAAAACTCACTGTTTCCAGTGAAAATTATCGCTGTTTCAAGTGAAGATTTTTTTTCGAAAAAAACTTTTTTTGAAAAATAAGAAGATAAATATTCAAAAATTTATTATAATTAGACAAAAATTTCTTTGAAACAAATAAATTTTCTTTGCTATCAAAAAAAAGTGAAAGAAATTATATGAATTTCTTTAAATGAAAAAAATATTTTTTTTGTGTGCTGTATATATATATATATACTATATTTATATTTATTGACAAGCAAGAATGTACTATATAGTGCAATTTCGCACTTGGAGACGCGGGTATTAGCTTCGTGTTTCCTTGTTTCCCAGGCTAACGTGTTTCCGCGTAATCTCGCCCTATTCCCGGAAATACAATTACGCCACTCGCCGGGCAATCTACTATCCCTCGGGCCACGATTCAATCGCAATAACCGGATTAACGTTGATCGTCGAAAAATTGCGAAAGAACGTCTCGTAAAGTCCAAGATTGGAACTTTAGTTTATATCTATATATATATAGAGAGAGAGAGAGAGAGAAAGAAAGAGCTTGAAGAACTCTAATTTCGTTTGTGATTGGTACATTCAAACGGCCTCATTTCATGAAAAGAGCCTCCCAACTTTAAATTGAATTTCGGTTATACATTGCCGAAAAGAAAAGAGAGAAAAAAAAAATCTCCCGCAGTATTTCGAAAAGTTTTCATAAATTTTTTTCTTTCTTTTCACATATCCATGACTATATATGCAATTAAATGTCGATAATAAATTCCTTTGAAAAATTTTATTTAGGCTTTAAAGAAATAAAAGATAAATTATAAATTAAAAAATTTATTTATTATTTAAATAAAAATATAATATATTCTCTAAATCTGAATTAGTAAAAATGTTTACTAATTTAAATTAGTGAGTCACTTTTTGTTTTAGAATTAGTTAAATTTTACTAATTGTTAGTTAAAGTTACTAATAATTAGTAAAATTTTACTAATTCAGAAGCAAAAAGTGAGTCACTAATTCAAATTAGTAAACTTTTTTACTAATTCAGATTTAGAGAGTAAAAATTAATATATTTTTGGAACTATTAAAAGGATTTTTGTGAATATGAAAATTTATTATTTTCTATTAGAAATCTTGATTTGTTTTTTTTTTTTGGGTATAAATAGAAATTAATTGCTTGGAACATTTATTGGAAATAAAATGCCAGGGAAAATTAAGAAAAATTGGAGATACAGTGAAAAGAAAAAGAAAAATAAGCTTTATTTTTATTATTAGAAAACTTACTAATCCACTTAGAAGATAATGGTACGTTCTTTTTCCGAGCGCAATGTCTCTTACATGGCTTACGACTATATTTTTCGCCATTTCGGTGGGACAGTCCAGTACAATGTATTTAACAGTCCATCTGTAAATAAAAATTTTTTATTCACTTTTTTTTTAACTAATTGATAAATATAATAATCAATTTGAAAAAAAGGCAATTAAAAGAATAATTAAAAAACCAATTTCAAAAAAAAATTGAAAAAATAATTTACTTGTAACAGGAAAAGTTTTCACTAAAATTGAAATTTATTTTCACTATTCCAGCGAAAATCTTTCTTTCCTCGAGATAAATTTTTTTTCCCTTTTATTAATATTAATTAAACACGGAAAATTTTTTTTCGAATGAAAATAATTGAAATGAATTTTTCCTTTTTTTTTGGAAATAATTATTTTTTTCACTGTTTTTGGAAAAAATTAAAAAAAAAAAATTTTTTTACCTGCTAATTTCTTCCAATGTACGAAGAAAGTCAATTGCCTCAGAAACATTTTGTATTCTTTTAACACTTTCAACTTGAAACGTCACATTCCCTGGTTTAAGTCCCTGATAAATTTGTTGTAATCGCAAAAGACCTGAAACAAAAAAAAAAGGGAAATCATTTTCATTAAAATAATAATTTAATATTCCTGTGTATATAAGGAAACAATTTTTTTAAATTTTTTTAATTAAATTTATCAACAAAAAAAAAACTGTTGTATTTTTGTTTTTAAAACACATTGTCGTCTAGTTTTAATTAAAAATGGTTTTCTGCTTTTTAATGTATTTTTTTTTATTTATTTTTATTACAACCATTTTTCTCTTAACAAAATGCGATTACAATTTTTTTTATAATAATAATAATCATAATAATAATAAATAATAATAATATTTTAATAATAATAATAATAATAATAAAAATAATAATAATAGTAATAATAATAATAAATAAAAATAATAATAATAAAAATAAAAATGAAAATAATAATAATAATCATAATAATAATAAAAAAAATAATAATAATAGTAATAATAATAATAAATAATAATAATAATAATAAATAATAATAATAGTAATAAAAATAATAATAATAATAGTAATAAAAATAATAATAATAGTAAAAATAAAAATAAAAATAATAATAATAATAAATAATAATAATAATAATAATAAGCGTTAAAAGTTTGGTGTCTTTAATTTTCGCGACATTTTCCAGTGTGAAGTTGCTTTCTCATTAAGTTGTTTAATTTAATAAACTAAAGAGAGAGAGAGAGAGAACGTTGTTCCATTGTGCGACTAATACGCGAAGAGGGGTGAGGGAAGGGGGGGGATGAGGTTGACTTGAACGCGATTCTGCGCAGGAATTGCGTATGATGGAGAAGAGGTCGTAATTCATTGGCAGACTGCGTTTTCTCTCCCCAGTTTCCCTCACCCCCCCCCCTCATCACCCTTCCCCTCCCCCCTAAAAACCAACGTTTCTGCAGCGAAGCTTTGCAGATACCATATAGGAGAAAAAAGGGGGTGGGAAAAGGGGGTGGAAGTAAAAAATTTTTGTCGACAAAAAAGTGCACATTCCTCTGTGATATGATGCGGAACTGATCGCTAGAGTTGGGAGTTAAAAGCAAGAAAAATCCCCCCCCCCGTATGAGTTGGTGAGCAATTAGTCAACGTTTTGACATTAGATTAATATATAGGGGGGAAAAAATATTAATTTTTTTTTACAAAATTAATTTTTTCCTACGAAAAGAAATTTTCTTTTATTTTCTTTAGAAATGACAATTGACTTTTTTAATTATAAATTTAATTAAATTGGATATTTTCAAGGGAAAAAAAAAAAAATTTCTGTATCAGCGAAAAATGTTATATTTTCTTTTTTTCGGTGAAGAAATAAGAAAGGTATTTTTACAAATTTTCTATGTCGTCGTGACAATCCCTGAAGCAAACGTGAAACTGACAACGAGGTTAACGAGGTAGAAGTTACAATTATGTTTCTGCGCTATTACAAAAGATCCTTAGAATGCAGATCTCTGAGTTTCTGCGACTGTATAAAATTAAGACGAATTAAGAATTAATTTACATGCGATCTTAATTTTCAACGAAAACCGCATGAAAAAAAAAAGAAATTGAAAAATTAGTTTATAAATATTTCAACCATTATTTTTTTTTTCATTAATAAGTTAGAAAAGAATTTTTTTAAATTTTACATACAGTGAGAAAAAAATTTAGTGTTTGCAACAAAATTGTTTGGTTATAGGCAATTTTTTGGTTCTTGTAACCAAATTTTGGTTGGCTTAAACAATGTCGTAGAGTTATCTCAACCAAACATTTGGTTTGGCCAACAAAATTATTTGGTTGAACATTTTTAAATTCCAATTAAAATTTGGTTACGACAACAAAATTAATTTGGTTACGACAACAAAATAATTTGGTTACGACAACAAAATAATTTGGTTACGACAACAAAATAATTTGGTTACGACAACAAAATAATTTGGTTAACACAATAAAATAGTTTGGTCTAAAAAACCAAATGAACGTTTGTTGTCCTAACCAAAATTTGGTTGCGACAACCAAATAATTTGATTCGCTCTCAGTTCATAGCTTAAGAGAACAGATAGTTTAAATCTCTCACAAGTATGAGTAGTCCAGTGGTCAGAGCTCCCGACCTTCAGTTTTAAAACAGAGGTTCGATCCCAGGCGGAGATGAGATTTTTCAAAGTCCACAAATATTTCAATTGGATAAATATAAATTAAACGTTAAATTGGATAATAAATAAATAATGACATAAATAAAAAAGATAAAAAGAAAATAAATAAGGTAGAATAAATTTTTTAATTTTACAAAAAAAAAACTGTTTGTTTGATCAACCAAACATTTTTGTTGACCTAACAAAAAAAATTTGGTTGATCTAACCAAACATTTTTGTTATGCAAACAATAAACACTCAACCATATTTTTTGGTTGACTCAAACAAATAGTTTGGTTGATTCAAACAAATAGTTTGGTTGCTTAAATACCAACAAAATTTTTTTGTTGGCCCAACCAAATTTTGGTTGCTCTGACTAAACATTTTTCTCAGTGTAATTTAATTTCACAAGAAAAAAAAATTATTTTTCTCGAGTGTACCTATAATTTTTTTTTTAACCTAATGTAATGAATAAAATAATGTTTTAAGAAAGTAATTAGCCATATATGTGTGAGATTAATTGAAATGAAATTAAACGTGAACTGTAAATGATTGGTGTGAGCTAATAACAATTATTGGAATTGTATATGGAAAGGAAATGACATTCCCTTGTGGTGTATGCACCTCTGGCCATTTGTGAGGTAGGTGTCACTAATTAGTGACATCGCAAGGCAACGACGTTATTCTCTATATGTGTGTGTGCGTGGCATTGTACGAACATCGTTTCACCCAACTGGGAGTTCGATCCTTGTTTCAAGTGTAGAAACGGACGTGCAATGCGCAGACAGACTATACAATTGGACTCTCTGGATTTGCCCCCCACCCCTCTCTCTCTCTCTCTCTAATATTACGAAATTCTGTCTGACGACACATACACAAATTCCTTCACATCACTGTTGAGCTAAAATCCCAATAGACCTGATTACATGTTTCAAATCTGATATATTTTTTAATTTTTTTTATTTTCCTTTTCTCCTAAAAATAATATTTTAGTAATAATAATAATAATTAATTTCGAAAATTCAGGGTTTATTCAAGTGATAAAAAAAAAAATTCTTTTTTTGGGTATTCATCAGGAATGTTGAATTAGAGAGTTCTATAACATTTGTATATATATAGAGAGAGAGAGGGACGTCTCCTGGGATTAAGTGCGAATGAATTCCAGATCGCTTTCAAGATTATGCGAACTCTAGTGTGCTAATCAGTCCGACCTTTTTCGCTCCTCTTTTGTTCACTATCTTTTTTAAAACCCTTTTTTTCAATTTTCCTTTCTTTACTGTCTATCTATTTCTTTAGATGTTTTTTTATCTTCAAAAAAAAAAAAAAATCCCCTCCAAATTGGTTACACTCGGAATCAGTTTTTCTGAAAATATATGCCTTTATTCAAATATCTTTTTTGTAATTAATTTTTAACTTGATGATTTTCAAATCATTTTTCCACAGGTAAATCAAAAAATTTCCATTGTGCTCTTCAATTTGTACAAAAAAAATTTTTTTCTGCTTCATTTATAGTCAAGATAATGAATAAAAAAGTTTAAAGAGTATTAAAAAAATAAAACGAATTTTCCAGGTTTAAAAAGAATTTAAATTAGATAAATTCAGTTTCATTATTCATATACTGTATTAATATCAACTTTTAATACATTTTTTTTAAAATAAAATAATATAAAATCAAATATGTTTTCGTGAATTTTGTCCAAATCTTTTTTTTATATATAATTATAAATTCAGAAGCAAAATAAATAAATAATAATTATCTGTAAGTGACAATTTTTGAAAAGTCTATCATGAGGAAGAGAGAATTTCGCTATATATATATATATATATATATATATATATTTAATGAGAAGAGAGGAGAATTTCCCAATTAAGCAACGTGCATATCTAAAGTTCTCTGGAGCAGATATTTAATCAGTTAATATCCAAAATTCTCTAACGCATGCAATGTCATTCGTTTGATGAGTTTAGTGTGTTAATTAGTCGTTTTCTGAAGAGAGCTTAGCGTCATTCCTGATTTGTTTGAATCCCTGTGCTTAAAGCTTTGTCGTCTCTGAGTTGAATTAACATCATCTGTAGTATATATATATATATATGTATGTATATATAATATATGGGAGAGGTTGAATCGCACCTTGTCGTTAATTTTCAGTATATATTCCAGGCATTAGTCCTAGAAACTACAAGTTCGAAAAACCGCAAAGCCTCGTATGTTGGAAACTACTAGACTTAGGGATTGTTCGCATTCCCTTTGAAAGGACTAACTGTTCCGTATTTATCCATTAGATGCGTGATGGAAAAAACGGCGAAGTTTCTTATTTATCTTTTTGATTGGTCCAGCGGATGCTGAGCTACACTAGACAACAAATTTGGAAAAAATTTAGAAAAATTAAATTTGCGAGATAATCGTTCCGGAATACCGCCAAAAAAATAGGGAAAAAGTTTCGAACAACAAATGTCTGGCGCACTTTTAGATTGGTCCAGCGGATGCTGAGCTACACTAAAAAATATTTTGGAAAAATTTTCAAAAAATTAAATTTTCGAGATAATTGTTCGGGAATACCGCCATAGTGATTAGAAGAAAGTTCTGAACAAAAAATGTATGGCGCACTTTTTGATTGGTCCAGCGGATGCTGAGCTACACTAAAAAATATTTTGGAAAAATTTTCAAAAAATTAAATTTTCGAGATAATTGTTCGGGAATACCGCCATAGTGATTAGAAGAAAGTTCTGAACAAAAAATGTATGGCGCACTTTTTGATTGGTCCAGCGGATGCTGAGCTACACTAAAAAATATTTTGGAAAAATTTTCAAAAAATTAAATTTTCGAGATAATTGTTCAGGAATACCGCCATAGTGATTAGAAGAAAGTTCTGAACAAAAAATGTATGGCGCACTTTTTGATTGGTCC